TTTTGTTATTCTTACTAGTTTTAAAAATGTTAAATCATTGGCATTGTTTTGTTAATAGCCAGAGCTTTATGTTTAGGTTTTAAAATGTTAACGTGTCTGTAGTTTGGGTTTTGCATTGGCATTGTTTTGTTATTGTTTTAATAGCCAGAGTTTTGTTCTTGATGCTTAAGTTTTACTTTCATTATGGTAGCTTAAAATTAAAAGAAGGGTGTGATGTAGGGCGCAGCCGGCTATAGGGTTATGCCTCGGACTGACCTGTTGGCAAAGCCACAAACAAGTCCCAGCTTAGAGGGCACAGTCCTCTTAGCATTATTAGGCTTGACCTTATGAAGCTCCTTAGATCTTATCTGGGAAGCTAATGGGCCATGGGAGGTGCAGCAAGTGCTGCCAAAACAAGTGAAACTCCCAAGAACATTGTAACTATGGTAACCACTAACTTGTTTACATCTGACTATAAAATAAAGGCTCAGTTTGCCTCTGGGTCTCTCTCTGTGGCCTCAGCCAGGCACAGGAAGATCCACGGAGAATCAAGAGAGAACCTGGCTATGCTGATCATCTGAACGCTGTCTCCGTGTCCTTCATTCTTCGCCGACTCCGTCCACACCTTTGGGAACCAGTGGACCTCTGGGGCTGGACCCCGACAGTCTCTGTTTATTCCCTTTAAAAATTCGTGCAATTTGTGCCTATGACTGAGTTTGCTTAGGATAAATAAAACAATTTGTTGCATCAAATTGCCAGAAAAAAGTGTTGTATGTAGCGGTGGCCTCGGCACAGGGCACACTGTCTGTGCGTCCACATACGTCTGCTGAGTCAGCACAGGCACCACCGATAAAGGTCACGCTCGGGGCTGTTACATAAGCAGCCGAGTGACCTGGCCCTGCTGACCCCGCACCCAGGTCGCCCGCTGTTCCCGGGCCTGGGAGGGGGCTGTCACCTGGACCCCTGGCAGCTGCCACCCCCATGGGCACGGGGTCACCAGGCGGCCTCGGGCCCTGGCTCCAGGGTGGGAAAGGGGACGTCTAACCCTCGGTGAGTGGGGCTGGGTGAACCCATGTGATCTTCCCCGTCTGCCTTCTCTCCCGCCCCGTCTGCCAGGGATCCCGCAGCCAGAGCTCTCAGGGGGCGAGCCTTCACCTCATGGCGGGGACTGTGGCCTCAGGGTGAGGTCCAGGCCCTCTGCTCTCTGTGGTCCCGGGAAGAAGGCAGCAGAGTCAGTGGAGTCCCAGCTTCCCTCTTCCTCTCAGGGATCCTCACAAGGGAGCCCAAGACCTGGAAGGTGCTGGGAAGCCCTGTGGGGGAGGAGGCTGCTGATGAACCCCTGGGCTCAGCCCCCCACACCCGTGTGGCACGCCCCCCACTGGGGATCAAGCCCGCGACCCTGGCATGTGACCAGGAATGGAACTGTGAGCTCTTGGCTTGTAGGTAGGTCGACGCTCAACCCCTGACACACGGGCTGGGCCCTGCAGTCCTTTTGCTCTAAGTGCTGCCCCCACGGTGGCCTGGGGCCTCCCATGGCTCCCGGCTCCCAGCTGGGTGCTGACTGGTGGTGATGCTGACCAGTGTCTGACCCTGCAGAGCAACGCTGAGGAGGAGAATGAGGGCGGAGGTCACCAGCCCTTTCCACCGCCCCCTTCAGAGCAGTGATGAAAGAATAGGCACCTAAAAATAGCAAAAAATAAAATAACATCCGCCCAGAAGCGGATGCACCCCGAGGGGGTTAGTCGGTGGCCAAGGCAGGAAGAGCTGCAGTCGGGCCTGTGGGTTGTGCTGCTCCCGACCTCAGAAGCTCCTGCTGGCCCAGAGCTCAGGTCCCTGTGAGGACTTGTCCCCTTTCCCTGTGGCTGTAGAAGAAGGACTTCTTCCCACCTCTCCCCGCCCTGCCAGGCCCAGCCCAGCCACGTGCAAACACTTAGGGCCATTTCCTGGTTTCCTCCCCAAACCCAGCAGGGCACGCCCCCCACTACAGGCCCCACCCCCAGCTGCCAGGCCCAGCCCAGCCATGTGCAAACTCTTAGGGCCCAGCCCAGCCTCTTGCAAATGCTTAGGGCCAATTCCTGGTTTCCTCCCCAAACCCAGCATCGCTCCGCCCTCAACCACAGGTAGTTTCATTTCTACTTGAACATCCTGCCCAGGACCTGGGAAGTGGCCGCTCCAGGCAACTCCCTCCTGAGAGTGCTGTGGGAGCCTCTGGGTCCGGCATTGCAGCTTTTGGCAGAGGCATGGCGTCGGCCTCCACCAGCAAGAAGATGCGGGAGGAGGCCACCTGCTCCATCTGCCTGCACCTGATGGCCGAGCCCGTGAGCATCAGCTGCGGCCACAGCTACTGCCAGGCCTGCCTCCTGCGCTTCGTGGGCCCGCCCTCCTCGTTGCCAAGCGAGCAGGACACAGAGACCTTCTCCTGCCCCCAGTGCCAGGCTCTCTTCCAGAGAGGCAGTCTGCGGCCCAACAAGCAGCTGGGCAGCCTCATCGCCGCCCTCCGGGAGCAGGAGCAGCAGCAGCAGCAGCAGCTGGAGCAGGAGGAGGAGCAGGAGCAGGAGCAGGAGCTGTCCTGTGAGGAGCACGGGGAGCGGCTGCACCTCTTCTGCGAGGACGACGGCCAGCTCATCTGCTGGCGCTGCGAGCGCCATGGGCAGCACAAGGGCCACAACACGGCGCTCGTGGAGGACGTGAGCCCCGGCTACAGAGTGAGTGCCCCTTCCTGCGCCCTGAGACCCCCATCATCCAGGAGGGAGCCCAAGGTTGGGACCCTGAATGCTAGCTTCCTCCTGTGGTTCTTTCTTCTAGTGGGAGGTTGAGTCGGGGCGGGAGGGTTGGGAGGGGCGAGGGGCGGGAAGGTTTAGGGTGGGTCCTCCCTGAATCAAGTCCCGGCTGTCCAGCCCCACCTTCCACGGACGGTCAGACTCATCCAGGTCCCGGCTGCGTGATGAACTGGTCCCAGCTCCAGCGCCCCATGCGCTCAAACCCACACATGCGTAGTGTTTTGTTTTGTTTGATAATCCTACCAGAGGATATTTTCCCACTGATTTTTAGAGAGAGTGGAAGGGAGGGGTATAGAGAGAGAACATTGGTCGGAGAGAGACACGGATTGGTTGCCTCCTGCAGGCGCCGGGACCAGGGCCAGGAAACGGCAGCCGAGGTTCATACCTTTGACCGGAATCGAACTGGGCTGAGGCTCTAGCCACTGAGCCCGACCAGCCAGGGCCACACCTGCGCGTTTTATCACCTCTCGGGTGCATGTGATGAGATGGCGAGTGTGCAGGTGCGCGTGGGGGAGTGAAAGCACAGGGACCAGGACACCACCTCGTGGGCGGCCTGCCGTCCAGTAGGGAAGACGCACCAGCAGAAGGACTGCCGGGCCTCCATGGCCTGGGGGGTGGGAAGGGGCACCCCGGGTGCGGGTGGTCTCGGGGAGCCCTCCCAGAAGTGAGTCCTGAAGGAGCCTAAACACTAACCATGTGGCCCGGCCAGCGTGGCTCAGTGGTTGAGCATCTACCTAGGAACCAGGAGGTCACGGTTGGATACTCAGTCGGGGCACATGCCCAGGTTGTGGCTCCATCCCCAGTGTTGGGCATGCAGGAGGCAGCTGAGCCATGATTCTCTCTCATCATTGGTGTTCCTGTCTCTCTCTTCCTTTGTGAAAGCAATACAAATATATACAATTTTAAAAATAAAAAAAATTAACAGTATGTAGGAGTGCTGAGAAAAGAGAGGGCTCTCCTGTGAGAGGGCCCACGGCAAACGCACAGCCAGGGGGCGGGGGCGTGTGGGGAAAGGCAGGTGTCGCCGAGCCTTCCATCAGCTCAGTCTAGGTCCCCCACAGGCTGTCCTGGCCATTAGCCGAGAGGAGGGTCAGGGTGACAGGGACAGAGAGAGCCCCGGGCACTGACATCCAGGTTCTTCCCGTCAGAGGGAGAAGGGAGATGTGGTCAGCAAGGGTCACTCCATTTCTTCCTCCAGGAAAAGCTCCAGGAAGCGGTGAGGAAACTGAGGCAGCTGGAAGAGGAATGCACGAACCAGAAAGCTTTCACGGCGAAGCAGATCGCCCAGTGGAAGGTGAGAATGGGGGGCTCTCGCCTTGGCCGCTGGAGGGCACCCCCCTGGGCTCAGCTGCAGTCCCCACCCAGTCGGGCGTGTGCAGGAGGCAACAGCCCATGTCTCTCTCACATTGACGTTCCTCTCTCTCTCCCCACCCTCCCCCCCTGCCCCTCCC